TGTTTTTGTGAAAAATTTTTTGTAATGAGACGAGCTTTATATTTATCAATAGATCCATCAGGATTAAATTTTCTTTTAAAAATCTATTTGCAACTGATTGGTTTTGTACCAGGTGGTAAATCTACCAAAATCCAAGTTTTATTTTTCTCAATGGAATCAATCTCACTTCGAATAGCTTCTTTCCATAACTTTGCATCAGAAGACTTTATTGCTTTATTGTAATTTGAAGGTTCATTATCAATTAGAAAAGTTTGAAAATCGTTTACAAAAGAAAAAAATTTTCTTTGCCTTTTGCTTCTTCTCAATTCCTCCTCAATTGGTATTTCTCAATCACATTCAACAGGGGCATGAGTATTTTTATTCGACAGTGGATAAATATGTTCAAAGAACTCATCATTCTTTGTTTCAATAATAGTATTACAATCAAGCACATCACTTTTCAAAACAAGAAATCTATATGCAGCACTATGTTCAGCACATCCAATACGCATACAATCAGAAGTTCTACTACCAATTTTCCTTTTCTTAGGATCTGGTAGTAATACTTTAGCAAGGCACCCCCACACTTTTAAATATTTCAAATTAGGTTTATAATCTTTCCATAATTCATAAGGTGTTTTGCTAGTCTTTTTATGAGGAACTCTATTTTGTAAGTGACATGCAGATAGTATAGCCTCACCCCATAAATTATTAGGCGCTTAAGAGCTTACTAACATAGAGTTCATCATTTCTTTTAGTCTTCTATTTTTCCTTTCAGCTACTCCATTTGATTCAGGTGAATAAGGAGGTGTTATTTCATGAATTATACCTTCTTTTTCACAAAGTTCATTTAAGGCAAAATATTCACCTCCTCTATCAGACCTAACTCTTTTTATTTTTCTATTAAGCTGATTTTCTACTTCAGTTTTATAAAGAAGAAATGCATTATAAGCATCATCTTTATTTCGAAGTAAATAAAGTCTAGTATACCTAGAAAGTCATCTATAAAAGTGACATAATATCTTTTACCTCCTCTAGTCATAGTTTGTTTTAAATCCCCTAAGTCTGTATGAATTAGACTTAATAATTCAGTTTCTCGAGTAACACTTCTACAAGTTTTCTCAGTGATTTTAGTTTCAGCACATATTTCACATTTATCCGTATTAGTAAAATTAATACCTAAAATTAAACCAAGTGATTGCATTTTCTTTATGTAACCAATATTAGAGTGTCCTAATCTAGCATGCAATAGCCTTTCCCCACGAACACATTGTTCTTGGTCATAACAATCTTTTCAGATTCAAATGACACTTTTATCCGAGCTTTCCCCAGTAAGGCAACATAAACCAAATTTGCTCTAATGTTTGGAACATGCAGCACATTGTTAAGAACTAAAGTTTTTCCTGAAGTGAGATTCAGGACAACCTTCCCTTTACCAAAAACCTTTGCAGGCCGCGAGTCTCCAAAGTAGACAACCTCTTCATCATCTCCTACAAAAGTATAAGAGGAAAATGCTTCTCGATTTGCACAAATGTGCCGAGTAGCCCCAGAGTCTACAACCCACTCTTTGACGTTAGCAGCAATGTTCACTTGAGAAATAACGGCAGCAATTATTTCATCTCCTTCGATTATATTAGCCTTAGGAGGATTTACTTTGACATCGTTATTCCTCTTTCTCTGCCTACACTCAGCAGCATGATGATTTGGCTTTCCACAAACAAAACAATTGCCTTTCTTCTTAAAAGTGGGATTATTAGGCTTGTAATTTTTGGACTAGTTATCGTACCTCTTGTTGTTGCTTTGCATCAAGTTTGCTTTGAGCGTAATCTCCTTGGCTTTGGCAGTCTTTGACTCCTTCCTGTTAGTATCTTTGATCAGGATGTGCGTCACCAACTCCTCGACTGTGAAGATCTTCTGCTTGTGCTTCAGGTTGTTCTTGTACTCACTCCACGAATCTGGAAGTTTTTCGATCAGCACTCCTGCAGCAAACTTCTCAGGCACAATGTCTTCAGCCTTCAAATCCTCGAGCAGCTTCTGATATTCATTGACTTGAGCCTTCATCGTTTTTTCTTCAACCATATGCCATTGGTAAAATTTTCCAACGACAAACTTTTGCTTCGTGGCATCTTCAGCTGTGAACTTTTTGATTAATGTGTCCCAGATGGATTTGGCTACTTTGTAGCTACAGTACACATCAAATAAATCATTAGAAAGAGTTTGCAAAATGGTGTGACGACATACCTTATTGGCATGTTGCCACGATTCTTGAATCTTGCTATCAGCAGTTGAGTCAGGCTGGGCATCAGTCAAAGCATAAGTAACTCCATGGATGTCGAGCAAGGAAAAGACACGTTCTTGCCAATGTTTGAAATTTTCATTGGCAAAAACATCAATCTTCGAAACATCGGGAAAAGGTTTGGCGTATGTTAAGCCGACAGGGACCGAGGGTGTAGCTGGTACAACAACTGTGGATTGCGTAGCATCAACATTGATAATTCCATCAACATTGGTAGCATTAGCATGGCCGGAATTTGTAGTTTCTTAAGATTGTTAGAAAAAAAATGTAGGCCAATGCTAATAAATAAAATAATAAAAATAATAAATACTTGAGTCGCGCTAAAAAGCACTGTCCTTAAGAAACTATTCCAATGGTATTGAAATGTCTCCCCAAGATTAAACAAGCCTTCCTCCAAATGATAAAGGGAACAAGAACAACTAAAATATTAATCCAGCAATAAAAACGAAACAAAGATTTTTTTTTATTTAAAATAAATTTAAAAAAAAACAAAAGAAAACCGAGAAGCTAAAAGCAAGCTTTCGTGTGAAGAAGGAAATGACTTTGAGCCTTTGAACTGACCGAAAGATAACAAATAATGAAGAGAAGAGAGGAGTTGTTTTGGTGCATTTTTTCACTCAAATTTGGCATCTATTTATAGTGCCAAAATGCTTCGCTGCTGCTCCCAAAAAATGAGAAACGGATCTTCTATTTTTTATAGTGGGCGGATTTTAGGAACAAACTTGCAAGACTTCTTCTTCCAATTTGACTTGGTATTTTTGATTTTATCTAAAACGTGAAAATGACCAAATCAAATCTACCATATATTTACTAATTAACTTAGTAATAATAATAACTAAAATCTTTTAGAAATATTTAACAAGTAACATATTCATTTCTTTCTCCTTCACCTGCAGCAGTTTACCCCAACCTCCAACGAATCTCATTTCTGATGTCTACCAACACAGTCTCCACATGTCTGTCCCTTCCCTTATGAACCTTAAGGTTCCTGCTTTGCCAAATATGACTGTAACCTGCAGCAATTACATCAAACACCACCTTTTTCCACAAACTTCGCCCTTTCCAAACATAATTCAATCTATGCCAGCGGTGAATATTCAACCAGACTTCAGGAAATTGGATCCAATGCCTAATCTTTTTCCACAGTTCAACAGCATAGCCACACTGAGTAAATAAATGACTCATGGTTTCTGGAAACTTATCACACAAAGGATAGGAATCATCCTGAACCTCCACACCCATATTTATCAGCCTCTCCTTGGTAAGTAATCTCTGCTGCCAACAAAGCCACAAGATGAAACAATGTCGAGGTATATTCAACCTGTTCCAAACAAAACCTGCAGCTTTCTGTTTTACTTGCGTTCCTCTCAAGAACTGATACCCTGAAGAAATGGTATAGCATCCAGACTAATTCGCCCTCCATCCAGACTGTTTTTTTTTTCCCGCATATTTAACATTCACTTCATTTATTTATTTTTCATATTTACATAGATGCAGAGTACACTTGGGCCTCCAAAAATTAATTAATTTATAGAATTATTAATTCGTCGATAAATTAATAATTATTAATTTATCGATAAATTAATAATTATTAATTTATCGATAAATTAATAATTATTAATTTATCGATAAATTAATATCTTATTAATTTAAAGAGTTTTTTAAATCATATAAGTAAGAAACTATAAAAATTTAATAATTTTTACATCAAGAAAAGTCTGTTTCAACCCTAGTAATAACATTATAAATTTTTTAATAAAATAAAAACATGATAATTGCAAATATAAACAAAAGTACTTAAGCCAAAATGTAAGTTAACTTTTAACTAATTTATTATTTCAGGTATTTATTAATTTATGAAATTGTGGGGACCTATATTTATATAGGAGATTCTTGAAAAATTATTATCTTAAAATTAATCGTATTTTTCATTTTTTGTACGTGACTGGAAACAAATATTATTTAATAGAGATTATTAATTAATAGAAAATTAATTTAGAGAGGTTTTACTGTATTTAACAATTAATATACATACAAAGGGGAAAGAAAGTGGAAACTTTCTTCAAATTCAAAAGTAATTTCATCATTGGAAAAAATGAAAAAAACAAAAAAAAGAAAACCAAATGGATTTTCTTCATCAAAAATTATTGTGGTACTATCTATTTTGCTTTCTGAGTCCTTCTCAATTTATTCCATGTAGACAGTTTTGGATATCGGATCACTGGTAGAAACTCCGGTCTTCGAGAGTTCAATTATGTTCCCGGTTTTCGTTCATAGCTGCCAAAGTTCCGACTACTGTGAAGTGTGAGTTTCTTCAGGTATAATTAATATGGAAAATGGTGTGGGCAGTGAATAAAAATAGTGACAAAATATAGCAACTGACGTGGATTAATTATGCTCCTAGTTTCTTGCTAACCCGTAATGCATATCAAAATGCGAACACCAGTTTGATAGATTCATCGGAGAGCACCGGAAATTACCAAACATACTTCTCGAAATTTACTATCCTTGTCAACATTGAACTGAGCGTCAACTAAACTACCTTCACTACAACTGGGTTTTTTTGGCTTTTCGGCCGGTTCATTTTGTTCTGGGCATTGACATTTGGTTTGACCATTTTGTTAGTGGGGTTTGTTGTTGGGCTTTAAGGCTTTTTGGGTTTTGTGGGCTTGTATCTTTAGCCCTTAAAAAGAACCCCCACTAATACCTTTCCGTAGCGTCACCCCACAGCAGGTCACGCCTTTCGTTACAGCGTAGCTAGCTACTATGCGACGGCGTTTGCTGATGAATGCAGAAGAAGAAATACGTTTCCCAGAAGCTTTGAGAGATTGTATCTTTAAAATTATCTGAGTTTTTTGTTGAGACTAATAATCTTAGGAAATTATTTTAGTACGAGGACGGAGAATTTGCAATTTTTTGATGGTAACCATCTTCTTCTCTCTGCTTTTCTAGCCTCCTCCATTTCTTTCTTCTTTCTGCTAAACCCTAGTCTAAAATGTATCTTCATAATCTTTCAAGCAGCCGCTACGAATTCTTCTCTGTTATTTCTTTTGGGTGAAGCCGATACAATCTATGCTCTCTGTTGTAGCCTCCTCTGTTTGATTACAAAGACCTTTTTTTCTTCCCACAAGATTATCCAGCTGCTATGTCGGATTATTTCCCTGAGGAAGTCGTGATTGAGATTCTCTCAAGGCTTCCGACCAAATCCCTGGTAAGGTTTCTCTTGGTTTCCAAATCATGGCAGTCTTTGATTTCTAGCCCTAATTTTATCGCTGCCCATCTCAACCATGTCCGTCAGTCTAAAATCCCAAATAGTTCCTCACTTTCCCTCGTTAGACTCTATAATATCTTTTGCAATAAAGAGAATTATGCACTATATTCAGAGGCGGGTGTTGATGGAGGTTCTGGCCGGAATAGCAAGCTTTGTTTCCCGGTGAAATTAGAGTATGGGATTTTGAGAATGGTTGGTACTTGCGATGGGTTACTTTACTTATCTGATAATCACCATCGAGAAAACAACTATATATGGAACCCTAGTATTCGGAGATACGTAAAATTGCCACCACCCACAAATCCTCCATCCAATTTTACATCTGTTACTGGGTTTGGATCTGATTGTCGTGGCGATTATAAGGTGGTGAGGGTTGTGTACTGCGAAGGAGATGGCGGAGATTTAACTCTACCCCCTGAGGTGGAAGTCTATAGTCTTAGTACTGGATTTTGGAGGAGGCTCTTGAATGTTGAGATTGATGCTTTCATTTCTTTTGCTGGTACCACACATGCACCTTTGAATGGTGCCTGGCACTGGATTTCGTATTCTCCTCATAGGGCTGCTGACGGTGGTTGCCTCTGTTTGATATTGAGGTTTGACATTGCGAACGAATTGTTCAGTGAGATCATGCTACCTGATGAGTTGTCTCTTGTGAATTGTTTGAATTTAGTTGTGAATGTTTATATGGGTCAGCTTTGTGTGACTGCGAATCACGTAAGGGGTTATGAGTACATTTGGGTGATGAAACAATATGGAGTTAAGGAGTCATGGACGAGGTTGTTCACTATCGACCTAGCAAAATGTGCTGGAGGATTCGTGGGTTTTAGGAAAAATGACATTGTTGCATTTACAAACCAGGGACATGGGCTGGTTACTTTTGATCCCCAAACTGGTAAGTCTAGAGATCTTGCAATCTATAATGGGGTCGCTAGACCATTGGATATTGATGACTTTGAAGAGACACTGGTTTTGCTTGGAAGGCAAAATGCAAATGTTGAGGAAGTGATCAAAGAGTTTGTTGATGACCTTGAGGAAGATGGTCCGACCAATGAGCAGGAAATTATGCTGGTTAACATGCTTTCTACTCTTATGAACGGTTTGAGGGGATTCAATTAGCATACATCACGGCAACCTCTACTATGGCTCTTCTCATTTTGGCATGTTTTGCCAGAGAGGAGTGGCTGATTAAAGCAGTCTTGTATTCTATCTACTAGTTGGTATAATTGTTCCTTTGCGGTTTTATTGGTTCCATTGCTAGACTTCATCTACATTGTGGTGATTATCAGATGTGAAAGCTTAAGGAGTAGTTAGCGAAGGATTCATTTTCTTGAGACTTTTGATGAGGTTGTTTACTGTTAGTTGTTTAGACATCATAACCGTAGTCTTTCTTCATTATGGGCTGTATGACAGCAAGTAGTTTCTATTTGCTAAAAATGGTTTGAGAAATTATGGATTTGATGCTTTTGTAGTGCTTTTGTAGTGTTCTTCAAGTTGAAAAGCTTGAAGCCTTAAAGCTTGCTTCCAGCTTAGTAGTACTGTTAATGTTGGATTTCTATTTTCTTGAACTAAAGTAATTGCTTCGTAAATCTACTCTTCGTAGTCTCTTACTCTCTTCAGTGAATTCATAGAAGATGTTTGCTTACTGTTTGCTGCCTGAAACGCAAAATGGGAGGTTTCTCCCTGTTGTTTGCTAAACTTCAACGTGCAGCTCCTTTGCATTCCAGTTGGGGGGTGGGGGGAATCAAGTTTCCAGAATAATCAGTTCCCCTGTTTTTTTTTTAAGACTTTGCCATCATCAAAATTTAATCTTGAACGCCGATTAAGGCAGAAATTGATCAGAGTAGATGGACAACGTGAGATTGTTTGGTATGAAACATACTGAATAAAATCCAGTTCATCTGCATCATTTGTGGAACTTATTAGAATTATGAATTTACCAAACTCGTATGAAGTGCGGAAAAAAAAAGTATGCATAGGCTTCATGAAATTCTCCAGTTCAAATACTATCCAGAGTTGACACTGAAGAATGATAACCATTCACCAGCCAACTACATGACTATACTCTAGACCAAACAACATCATTTTCATATTTTCTGTAACAACACCAAAATAAATAAATAAATAAGTAGCACAAAAGCGATTGCTGTCCATCATTTTTAGTCTGTGTCAGGGAAGCGAGCCATCAGAAGATTAGCTCAAGATCACAAAGTCGACCTAAAGAAGCAATCGGCTTTACACATCTCAACCAAGTAAAGCTAACGTAAAAAGGTCACGAACCTAAAATAAACGCAAACTAAGACAGTCATCATGGTGGTGACTTGAGTCTCTATGAAACCTCCAGCAAATGCTTTATTTATGCTTCAAAAGCTGGAAATTTGTGGCCAGAGTTGTCACCATTCTCATCCTCTATCAAATTTCTGTTCAATCGTGTTAAGTGTTACCTCAGTAGCCTTGACAAGAGGCTCCCTGACAAGAAGAAGTTAACAAAACATGGAGAAAGTTTTGTGTGCATTCCTATGTTGACATTTTAATTATATCTAATCGATGAAAATATTTATTTATTCTCCTGTAAAATTGTAGCTAAAATTCACCTTTCTTTTTTTTTTTTTTTTAAATGCTTAGGGAGTTCGTTGTTCCACAATCAACACAACTCAACCACAAAATTAATTATTGTTAAACATAAAAAATAAAAATAAAAATATAAAAAAATAACAAAATTTCAGCACATCTTGGCGGAAGGACTCTGTAAACACGTGTAAATATGGCATGCAGTTGAAACTTTCCTCTGTTTCCTCACAAAAACAGAACAAACCAAATCATCACCTCCCACCTCTATTCCTCATTCTCATTGTACTCATTTCCTCCGATTCACACACAGTCACACAGTTGGAAAACAAATGAAGTGATAAAAACATAAATTACCTTTAAATCTAAGAAAAATCCCACCCGAAATGGATGCATTTGAAGGTGACTTCGTAGGAACAGAAGGCGGAACAGAGGAACAGATCATGCAGCCGCCGCCACCGCCATCACAACCACACCCTTTTGAGGACGATGGCTATGTTGATAATTTTGATTACGATGCGGCCCCACCTCCTCCGATGGCCGCCGCCGATGACTTCGGCTTCGACGGCGGAGCTCCACCGCCTGAACCACTGCCTATGGGTGACTTCTCAGATCCTGCATTTGGGATTAGCCCGGAAAATGATGCTGGTATCAATGGCGAGTACGGTGGACAGGAAAAAGGTTATGATATTGGAGCGGATACTGACGGGATTTTCAGTTCCGACAATGCTAATTTGGATGGGCCGATTCTCCCTGATCCTAGTCAGATGAGGGAGGAAGGCGCTGCTTTTCGCGAATGGCGGCGGTAAGGATTGAATTTCAGAACTTTTATTTTTCTTTTTGTTCATGAATGTTTTTTGTTTCTTGTGTTCCATTTACAGAGGCGATATTAATGTGGGTAATTAACATCTAATGTTGACTGTTGGCTCAGTAGTTTCACAATATGCACCCCCTTTGCTACATTGATTTTCTAATTTATAATCAGAATTTAGTTCTCCAAGTCATTCATTGCAAATTTGCTTTCAGTAATTGTAGTATTTCATTTGGGGATTTGAGTTATCCGATGGCAGTAACTTTCATCAATGTGATCAACTCATCTATAGGGGAAGAAATTTTGACCTGGATTAGGGTTGTAAGTTGTAACATATGTTTATTTATAGTTCTTCAAGATAGAAGCTTTGGATTTCACCTCGTGTGTGATTGTTGAGGAGTAATCATTTAGACTCCATTACGGTGACATAAGACTCAGTTTCAGTACTTTGGGATTCATTGTTTAATGTAAATTTTAAAATCTGGTGATCTCTGTGGTTGTCAAGGGAAAGAACTTTCTAGCCGGCAGTGTTTTTACTTAGTGTTTGTCCTAATGTGTTTCCTCGATAAACTAAGATTGTTTAACCAAACTTTTTTAAGTTGCTGCTGCTTTTCATCCTTTAAGAAGTTGATTCATTGATCAATTCTAGTCGCATGTACCCATTTATCTTGTGATGGTTCTACATAACTTCGATTAGTTCTTGGTTCTTGGTTTTCGACTTTTTTCTTTTTTCTGCACGGCACAAATGCGCCTCTCATTTAGATTACATACTGTAAACTGTTATCATAGTGTTTTTTGTCTTAGATAGCTGAGCAACTTTGCATAGTATTGAATTTCTGATCCTTCAACACCAGTTTCTTCATCCTTTTATCCTTTTCCCTTTCTTCTAAGAGATAACGTGTCAGCTCTAATACAGACAGACAGCTAAAGTTAACAAAAGCATACCTGTGATAATCATGATTGTTTTAGTTTTGGTCAAAATTGTTGCAGCCAAAATGCAATCCATCTTGAGGAGAAGGAGAAAAAGGAGAAAGAAATGAGAAATCAGATTATTGAAGAGGCAGAAGAGTATAAGCGAACTTTTTATGAGAAGCTGAAACTAAATCGTGAGACAGCCATGGTTCACAACAGAGAACGAGAGAAAGTAATATCCCTAAACATTAGATCCCTATTCAAACATGTTGATAACTCTTGGTTGTTTTACATTTACCTCATGTGTTTTCGTTGATATAAACAGCTGTACCATGCAAACCAAGAAAAGTTCCACAAAGAAGCTGACAAGAACTACTGGAAAGCGATAGCTGAGATTATACCTCGTGAAGTACCTAACTTCGAGAAGAGAAGAGGGAAGAAGGAGGAAGAGAGGAAACCTTCAATTATGGTCATTCAGGGACCGAAACCTGGTAAACCCACAGATCTTGCAAGGATGCGCCAGATGCTTCAGAAATTGAAGAACACACCTCCACCTCATATGATCCCGCCCCCACCGCCAAAAGAAGGAAAGGATGCAAAAGAAGGGAAGGATGGCAAGGAGGGAAAGGATGAAAAGGATAAAAAAGATGCAAAGGATGCCAAGGAAGATAAAACTGGCACTCCAAATTCGGTCAGTGGTGACAAAACTGGAACTCCCGAATCAGCTACGGCTGCAAAGGATGAGAAAGTTGGCGCTCCATTGCTGCTTGAGAAAGTTGGCACCCCGACATCCGCCAAGGCTAATGAACAAATTGTCGATTCACCGGCGAAAGATACTGCTATTGATGCTACTCCTGAGGCACCAAAACTGAATGCTACTTCTTAGCCTAAGGTGACAAATTCATTAGTAGAAACTGAAGCTTCGTCCGTCTTGATGATAATATGGAGTTTCACCCTTATTTCTGTATGTAGTGATAAAAAAAGCTTTTTCGGTTATTAGGTCTGTTATTACCATTGTAGGAATAACAACAGCTCTTTTTTGAGGGGCGAATGTTTGCCAGGGCTGTTGCAGAGTTATCTATTGATTGATTCCCCTATCGGAATAGGTACACATTTGCTTAATGTTGGCACAACCTTTAGTTTTCAAGACAAAGTTGAGGCATCTTGATTGCTTGCTGCAAATGAAGTGTGTTTCTGAGTCTTACGTTTAGCCCTGAAAATTCGCTCACTGGGTAAATTACGCATCTACTGTCTGAAGTCACTAACAGGATATGAACATAAGGTAAAAAAAAATGACACCAACTCCTGAAACTGAACATACGTTATGGTCTGCGAGTAGTTTTGATGGATTTAAATGAACATGTTATAGTTTTCAGATTGTATATATATTCCCTCTCCAACCTCACCAATTTGCCCAAACACAAAAGCGAAATCGGCCCAGTTTGTGAAAAAAAAAAGAAAAATAGATAAAAAATTTCTAAAAGTGCATGCCCTTCCTAACTTCACCTAATTTTGCTCGCCACCATATCCATATATATAATCGCATTCTACACTTCCCCAATCGCCACAACTCACTCATCGTGACCCCCCAATCTAATTGAAGGCGGCGATCTCTCTTCGGCCAGGTCTCAAAGATATACTGGAAGCCTGACAGGGAAGTGCGTACAAAAAGGACGTTTTTTTTTTTTCCCTTTTTGTTGCTGAAGCCTGAAAGGCCTAAAAGCTAATCTCCGTTTGCTCTTTAGTTACTTGTGAATTGTCATGGAATTTGGGGTTTCGGTTTCAGTACCTTCCGGTCCTGTGAACCAACTTCGGGATTTCGAAATCTCTATAGCTCCCTTGAGTTCCTTGCTAAGGTTGTTTTTGGCTTTACAGAGTCGCTGCTTCAGATTTCTGCTTCCCTTGGGGGCAACTCCTCAGGTCCACCGCCATGACTCACAAGTGTTGAATCCTTAGCTTTCAAGGTCTCTCTGTAGCAGTTTTGATTACACGTAAGTATGATATTCCCGGGGTTTGTAGGCTGTCAGCTGCAAAATCCTTTGAAATGGGAGCAATATCATTCTTTGCATTCTTCATACATGGATTTGCAGCTGCCGTAACCCACCACAATCAGTCCATACTTCACAATTTACAGGCTACACATTTTTTATGATGCGCAGACATCACTCAAAATTTTCAATGCCACCCTTTGGATAACAATGACTACTATCAATCTTCAATCATCTGTTGGATGAAATGAATCCTTTTGAATCCCTTCGTATGGTTTGGTACGTGGAATCGTAGTTTATAGTTATCATGGACAAACAGAGTTTTTTAAACTGGACTCTTGTGGCACCAAAACTGGACTCTGATTCTTAGCTTAAGGTAGCAAATTCATACTTCGAAAATCAGGCTTCATGTGTCTCGAGGATTGTATTGAATAGTCCCCCTGATTTTTTTATTGTTAGGTAACAAGATTTCTTGATTGTTTGGTGCTAATCCACCAGTCTCAGTTTTCGGTTTATTAGATCTGCGATCACCATTATAGGAATAATAATAGCACCTCTTTTTTGGACAAGCCATAGTTGTTTGCCTGGGCTGTTTTTGCAGAGTTGAGTTGATTGATCACACAAGTTAGGTGCACCATTTTAGGTGGTACCATGCATCGTGCATGTACTATAATGTAAACGAAATGTTCTTTTCCACATCAAAGGGATGCAGTCAAGTTCTTCTCGAAATCATGCAGTTAGTATTGACGTCTGTGGAGGCATACAAGTTTCTCCTGAGTTGATTCAAATGTTATGTTAAACTTGATTTTAGGAATTTGATTAGATTAGTTTTGATTTGGTCTTATCCAGTAGTTAATGCCATTGACAGGATAGGTGTCAATATTCTTGTATAAATATACCAATGTATAATAATTCAATAATAACACACAACTTTGTATAATTCAATAGGATAGGTGTCAATATTCTAATATGTTGATCTTAAATCGGGCCCGAGTAAGATATTGCTACGTGTTGATCAATTCTATAACATCGACCTCATGTAAACAGCAACATTAAAGAAAACATCAACCGGTAAGAAAGGAATTTTCTGGAAACAGGAGGCGTTCTTCTCCAATTTCAGGTTTTGTGTATTTTATTAATCTGTGTATTAGCGAAATGGTTGCCGTGTGGATCGCCACCTACCAGGAGAGATTTTGAACCAAATCTGACGCCTTTACCCATCCACAGATATCGTAGAAATCATTGATTTGGTGCAGATTAATATAGATGACAACAATGACTGTGAGGCAGATATGTCGCACCTTTAAAAAGGTTATGGAAAGTGGAAACTCCTCATCCAATCAAACAGGTTCTTGGTGTGATTGCGGAAAATCTTTATTTGATTAATTATGTTCGAGCAGAAATTGTCACTCGGATCGTGGAAAGGAGACAGAAAAATACCTTAACACAAAAACAAATCAAGCGATTGTGGATGTGTTCAAAAACCGGTTTCGGACCTAGAATCGAGGACTTAGGGTTAACTTCGATTTAATAAATAATAATAAAAATATAAAGAAGAAGCTAGACAAACCAAGAGTGGTGGCCGTCAATTGATTAAAATGGAGAGAAAGAGATATATGTAGCGCTGACTGACTATAGAGAACGTCGATAATGCGCTATTACAAGGAGAATCGAATTCACTGAAGTAGAAAACGATAAACGACTATCTATTTCTATAAGGAAAACATGCCAAAACCTATTTAATCTAGGCTAAATTATGAAAGCATGATAAAAATACAATAAAGAAAAGATGAAAAAGAAAGAAAAATGAATGATATCGATTGATGATGTTGAGAGGTGTCTCTTCTTGATGCGCGCGGCTGCCTTTAAATAAAGAGGGAGTGGCCGTGACTTTCCTGTGGAGAAGTAGTATTCACGTACAAAACCTCCTGCAGTTTTAGAGAGAATATAGTGCCCACATGTGATGAACTTTACTAGCCAAATCCTATTAGGAGTAGGAAATTAATATAGCCATGCATTGAGTCCTAATTAAAAAAACATTGGTAGTGTAGAACCCACGTGAATCTCTCTTCTTCTTGGATAAGAACACTAAAACCATCACATGAACCTTCCTTAATTCAAGTCTGACTACAACTCTAATTAAACCAAACATACACATTTTTGGTGCTAACATAAAGCCCCCCGAACGTCCATATGGATGGAATGGGATGTGGACGTTGAATAGTACAATGTCACCAGAAATAAGCATTTGGCACGGCACTAACATCGACATAATGCCAACCTGCTGGAACGATAAAGTAATACAGTACCCATGCAAAATGAGGAACATGATTAAAGCGAGGTGCATGATTATTACTTCGCCGAAATTTTGGGCGTCTCCTTTGAGAATCACACGTTATGCCAGAACTTCTTGAATTGCGTCGACGCCAACTATTGCTGCCAATATCGTTGCGACGACCCTTATGATCTTGTTGGAACTGACCCGTATGTGCAGGAGAACTACTATCCTGGCACCCACTATCATTCTGAACCTGATAGTTTGATGTGGTGCTGATACGTTCAACTGCTTCATTAATCATCAACAACTTACTAGCATCTACAGCGGAACCTGCTTGATCACCGTCGGCCTTATCATCAATTGTCAACACTTCAACAGCAGACTCCTTCTCATGATCGGCCACACATTGAATAGTTACATCATCATTGATCTTAGCCAAATCATTGCTAGACTTATCATCGACAACCTGGTCTCAAATGCCTTGATTCTGCTAGGCCGCATAACGGAAGGTGTAAGCATCTTCGACTGATCTCTTGCGGAATGATTCTTTTCTCAGCCAATCAAGGATTTCAACAACTCGCGATCTTTAGCCAAATCAATCTTCCATTCGATAGCAGCACCATAATCCAAATAGGCATAATTACTGTGGCCACCATCAAAATCAGTGCCGCGTAATTGGAGACCATCATCAACCTTTTCTGCAAAGTGAAAATCATGCGGTATTGCCTTCCCTTTACTCCGCTTACTTCTTCTGTTGGCAGACCCCTTCTTGTCGTAAAGCCATGCATAATGAGACTTCTGCTTAACCGGCAAGGAATCTGTTGCATCATTGACCAGTTCGGCACTACGGTTGCACTGTCGATCCTGGAAGCCATCATCAGAAACTCCAACCTGTTGATCTACTCCTGCTTCTTTTGGAACATCAGCAACTAAGCATTGGGTCGGTTTAGCTGTCACAGATAAATTGGCATCCGGTGTTGCCACTTGGCCTTGCTCCTGCCCGCTCTTAATTTCATCGACACTTGGACAAAACAGAATTATCAGTTGCAGGTGAAACATTGTCAAAGTTGTCACAAATAATCTCCTCAATATCATTGTGGCTGCTAGAAGACTCACAAGATTTCCTGCAATCAACCTCGACATACTCGTTTTCAACAATAACAGGTTCATTAGATAAACAAAATGAATCAGTATGCACACGATGCTTAGTAACAACTATAGTTTCAATAATCGGTAATGATTCACTCGCTGAAACTGTATTTAGTTGCTGTGACACCTGTTCATTTACAGCGACAAACGCTTGTTGAGGGTGCTCAGACTCTGTCTGCAAGCCTTCCCTAAGATTGCCACATTCAGCATCAAAATCACTAGGGAGCCCCCCAGGCGTCGACAATAAATCTGTCACAGAACTTTCTTGCAACTGATCTGCTGTCGCAACTGAACTTTCACTTGCTTCTTGTGTCTGCTGAATACTTGCTCATGATATTTTTCCGACGAACCCTGATGTTGCTGCGTCGATGATTCTGCTTGCTAATGTTGCCCCGACAATAATTGCTGTTGCTGTATCGACGACAGAACTTGCTGATTTTGTGGCGAAAGAAACTGCTGATGCAACACCTTTATCTGAACTTGAAGATGTTTCAGTGATGAAACCTGCTGCTGTAGTACCTGCATCTGCACTTGAACCTGTTGTGGTTGTGCCTGCAACAAAACTTGTTGATGCTGCGGCGACAGAACCTGCTGTGGTTGCGCCTGCAACAAAACTTGCTGATGCTGCACCGGCGACACCTGTTGTTGTTGCTGCACCGGCGCCTGTTGCACATACTTTGACGATTATGTGTAACCACCAACGATTATGGAATACCACCAACGACCAGCCCTCTGAATCTTGAGGTATCTTGCACCATCACGCCATCTGTCAACACAACTCCTGCAGTTTTGGAGAGAATATAGTGCCCACATGTGATAAACTTTGCTAGCCAAATCCCATTAGGAGTAGGAAATTAATATATCCATGCATTGAGTCCTAATTAAAAAAAACCTTGCTAGTGTAGAACTCACGTGAATCACTCTTCTTCTTGGATAAGAACACTAAAACCACCACATGAAACTTCCTTAATTCGAGTCTGACTCCAACTCTAATTAAACCAAAACTACACATTTTTTGTGCTAACAGATTACATGCATTCAGGGGATGAGCTGACTCCCGTCCCTCATATACAGGGACAGAGTCAAGGGTGTCACAGAGTACTCTGTCTGTCTAAAAGTTACTGTCCAGTTTGAACTTTCAGTTATAATATAATTTGAATTAAAAATAAAAATCTATACTGGACAATATTTTCGGGACAGGGAGAGTATTTGGTTTCCAACCGTAATAATAATAAGTTAAAAGACCGTCAATCAAAGTTTTCGAGGACCTTTTTTTATTTGAAAAGGTTCAAGGACCTAGAAGACTATGTGATTCATTTCTCGCGAGACGGATTATTACTTTTGGAATAGAGTAATCTGTTCAAATGGTCCTTTACATTTGGTAGAAAACTTAATTTGATCCTTTACATTAAAAACTCACTTATTTGGTCCGTTACATTTTTCTTTTCAACTAATTTGGTCTTCTTTTTTTTTTGGCCCTTTACATTTGTGGGTTGTCAAGCTGACCAATTCTTGGTCAAGTCAACATGGGCATTTTCGTTAACTTATAAATCTCAGATTTTTAAAATATATTAAAAAACAAAAAATTTATTCAAATAATACTAAAAATATTTTATTAATTATAATTTATTATTAAAAATGAAAAATTTAAAATTCAAAATTCAAATATAATATTATTAAAAAATTTAAAAATTAAAACATAAAAAAATCCAAAATATGATTTTTTTACCTGTGGGCCCAATCAAAATTTTTTACCCGTGTGTTTTTATCATATGGGGCCCACATCTAATTTTTCTTCACCCTTATCCAGTATTTTTTTCGTGAGTTATTCTAGTATAACGAAAAAGAAATACTGAATAAGGGTAAAGAAAAAAAAAATTAGATGTGGGCCTCATACGATAAAAACAGAGTAACTCACGGGTAAAAAATTTTGATTCGGGCCCACGAGTAAAAAAATAAATCATATTTTGGAATTTTTATTATTTTTTTAAAATTTTGTTAGTAATATTATATTTGAATCTGTAATTTTTAATTTTTTTTCTTTTTCAATAATAAATTATAAATTAATATAATATGTTTTGTTATGATTTTGTTTTTGTCATGTGGGGACCACATCTAATTTTTTTCTTTACCCTTATTCAGTATTTTTTTCGTTATACCAGAATAACTCACAAAAAAATGCTAGATAAGGGTAAAAAAAGAAAAATTAGATGTGGGCCCCAAATGATAAAAACAGAGTATCTCACGAATAAAAAATTTCGATTTGGCCTACAGGTAAAAAAAATAAAAAAAAAATTGGGTATTTTTGTGCTATAATTTTTAGATTTTTTTAATAATATTACATTTAAATTTTTATTTTTTATTTTTTCCTTTTAATAGTAAATTATAAATTAATAAAATATTTTTAGTATTATTTTAATACATCTTTGGTTTTTAATATATTTTAAAAATCTGAGATTTATAAGTTACTGAAAATGCCCCAGTCGACTTGACCAAGAAATGGTCAGCCTGAGAATCCACAAATGTAAAGGGCTAAAAAAAATAGAAAATGACCAAATTAGATGAAAAGACAAATGTAACGGACCAAATGATTGAGTTTTTAATGTAAAGGACCAAATTAAGTTTTCTACCAAATGTAAAGGAACATTTGAGCATATTACTCTTTGGAATATAATTGAGATTTCATTTCGCGGAGTGCCAATACGGATTGCAGAGTCTCAACCAAACTAGCTTTTACGTGGATTGAATTCGGAGTAAACCTGACAACGTAGCGGGAATAAAAGTTGACAAAGCACACAGCGCATCTCGTGTAATGTGGCAGTTGTGGCACTAACCAGCAAACATTGCCGATAGAGAATGTCGTAAATTTCGCTGTTCATCACACACCCGTATACTAAATTACTAATACTAAGATCAGGGGAAAATGCTCTGTCCCTGGCTCCAGAGATTTCATCATGATTCCCTTCTAGTGGTAGTCCAGTGTCTACTTTTACACCAACTAGTCCAAATTTAAAACCTCAAATGATCCCCCCAAAAAGTGGGGGAAAGATCAAAATGTTGCTTTTCAGCACAAAAGGTACGATCCCTTCTTCCAGAAAGGCAAAAGGAAACCTAATCAGGACTCCAAAATATCACAAAATTCGTAGCTGGTGGAAGGGGGGAAAAAAATATAAAAAATTTTATACTACTATGCTCCCTTTATCTTGAGGAAGAATATCAACAATCAACACATGGAAATGCACATGGGGAGGAAGAAGTAGATTGAGGGAATGAGATGTCTTTAATCAAACATTCAGTTGGGACCGTTACCACGTGTGTACAATCTCCATCCACCAAAAAAACTTTTCTGTTGCCTTTATATTATTGCAATCCCCTCTGTATTCTTTTTTTTTAATTTTTTTTTGTGTGATTTTAATGTGTTCTTCGTCGTCCATTTCCACAGTTTTGCATGTGACTTTCAAACTCAATTTGCAGCTTTATGTATTGATGAATGTTGTTGACCTCTTGAGCTCAACTGCTGGCAAGTAGCTAGTTAGTTTTGCACCTTTGTCCCAGTCAGTCCCACCACAACACAAAAGGCTCCAAGAATGCTGGTTATAATGAATGTTTTCATGTTCCAACTTGCTGCTCCAAACTGGAGTTGTTTCGTTCTCCAAATTTGGCTTTGGCTGTGCCATCAATTAGTTTAAGCTGAAACCATGTGTTTTGATCGATGTTATTATGTCTACTCTTCGATTAACTGGAAAAACTAATTGGAGGCAAGATAGGATACATCGGCAATTAGTTCAAAATTAAGTCACACAACAAAACAAAGATTTCACTAACATAGTTATGAGAATTTGGAACTTAAGACACACACAATTGAACTAATTACAATCGAGATTACTAGAGACCGCTCTCTCTCCTTAGGAGAGGGCTCAAAAAAGAAAAGCTCACAAGAACTACTTTGCAAACCTCCATTTCTAACAGAGGTACACCTGTGGGGGTTAAAACTTAAAAAGAAAACTCCAGAAACAAAATGCCAAACTGAAAAGAGAATTGGTTGGTTCTGTTCCTTCCATCTCCAATGGCGAGGTTCAACGGCAACTTCTCTTCAAAAAGACGAAACACTAGCACAGCACCACCATGTTCCATATATATATATATGCAAGCCGAATGCTAAAAATAAGAGGGGGCTTCAAATTAGGGCTAATAATTGAGCTTAGGAGAAGTTAAGACGAGAAGGGTAAGTGGCCTTTGGACTCCAGTTTCTTGGAATAACATCTCTTGCAGAAAGGGTTTTTCCAGTTGATAAGGTTGTTAACTTCACTGAGAATGGACCATTCAAAGGGCCTGTGACAATGACCCAATTTGCTCCCCATACGTGTGTCATCTCTAGCCACTCTGTGGAACTTGCCTGCATTATTAATAACAAATTAACAATCCAATCCGGACAAAGAATCTCAATTAATTCTGTAAAGAGATTTATAGTAGAATATAATTGTAATTTTCTAGGAAGCCAAAAGCCAAAAAAAAATTTAAAAAAAAAAGTAGATTAAACCACATTTCTGTACTAAAATTTATTCGTATCATCAAAAATATAGTTTGGGTATGAAAAGAAAATCTTTTTTTGCAGTAGTACTTGTTTTTCCTTGGTATCAACAAGATGAGGTGTGGACTATGGAATTAAAATCTTTTTCCAAAGTGGATTCGCACCATTTGGTAGAATCTTTTCTTCTAAGTGGGAAATGAAAAATTGAAAATGGTCAGGCACGTGATTCTAAAAGGTGTCTACTAAATTCACTAGTGTAAACTGTAAAGTGGCCAGATTGACCACGAAAAATTGCTTTTTTCCCTTTCCTTTTGCACAAAAATATCAAATAAAACTACTACTACTTGTCTACTAGCTTTCTCGCCATTTTGGTGAAAAAATGGGTTCATGTAAATGCAATTTAGTCTAATTTGCTAAAGTCAGTTGAAAAAACTTGGGAAAAATGTAGTAGAAGAGTGTACCTCTCTAATGTGCATAGAGCCAATGTCACCATCTCCATCCTCAAATTCAACCAACAAAGAAAGCCAGTAATCAGTTGATCCTTCATTCACCCGGAATGCGATGTTTTTCCCTGGATACTTGCATGGTGTCCTAGCAAATTATTAGAAAAGTTATAATCCGCTTAATTAATAGAATTTTTCTTGTATGATACTATCTGTGCGTAATAAACAGTACGCGGAGTATTGTCAAGTATAAATGTAGTACTACCAGTGATGATACAGTACATTACATATTCATAATTGCTCTTTCAATGCCTAATTAAATGACTGCAAATTTTTCGAGGAACCAAATTGACCCAAACTAGTCAACAACTCTAAAAAATATTGCAATGGGAGGAGAGCAGCTTTTGAGTACCAGAATTAAAAAGAAAGTAGAAAACGGTTAAAAAATTAAATAAAATCATGGTCCAATGTACATTTACAGTCGATACAGTAGTAAACTGCATGCTTGGAGTAAAACGAGGTAGACCTAACTTTTGACCATAAAGATTTTAGAAGCTTTGGAAGTACACAAACAAATAACGAAACGACGAACAACCTTGGAACAAAACAAATAACAAGAAAATAATTTAATTTATTCATGAGTCTCAAAAACATTTCTGTAGTGAAATTAGATGTAAAAGGATATAGATTTAATGTAAAGAAAGAAAAAAAAAGAAGGAATGTCTAGAACAAAACTAGTGACAGAGAGAACTGTATTCAAAGTCAGTCTCACAAAGTCTGTCACTATCATACTGAATACGTTAGTTGGCAGTTACTCCAAAGAAGTTAATTTTATAATACTATAATGTTAAAAGCAACGACCACGAATTTCCCAGTAATAAATTTGCTTTAGGTACCTTCGGAAAATGACCGGGATTTCGCCGCGATTACGGAGCTGGCCACCGTTTCCGGCGACGGCCAAGCGGCCGAAAGCGGCGCCGCTGAGGTCGAAATGTGTACGGCCGTTGGAACAGTACCCGCCGGGGCATTCATCGGTGATAATCACCGTCACCGCCCGTCTGGAGCAAATGGACTTGTCCAAACACCGGACTTTGTAACATGCACCGCAGCCTTCTCCGCCTTTGAACAACACCGGGCTCACCGCTCCGACCCGGGCTTTAAACGGCTTCACGTCCACCAGAGAACCGTACCCACAGGCCCCACCTTCATTCAATTATGAGAAAACCCATAAACACAAAACTGTCAATTTTGACTCAGGAACAGGAAATTGAGAAAATTTTGAGTGACTTACCGTCGCTGCCGTCACCTTCGGGGCTGCCGTACCAAGTAGCGGTGGCCGGAGACCAACGTGAGTTATTTTTTGCAGAGAATGCGGTGGCGAATGTAGATAGCATGCCGGAAATGTAGACCGTAATTAAGCACGAAATGAGAAGGCGAGATTGTAACTCCATAACTACAATGTGGTTTGCTAAAATTGAGGGTTCTTTGTGGGAGGAGAAAAACAGAGGAAAACAGAGCACTCTGTTGTTTGCCGACACTTTTTAAGAATACTAGCCAAGCGCTTAAGACAGTGTTAATAACTGAAAAAAGTCTGCAAAGAACCACTGTAGTAGTACTGTACACTGTAGTAGCACTAGTTTAGTAGTGCTGGCTCTGTTGCAAATGTGGGTTGTTTTCAGTTTTCGCTCCCATCTGTCTCTCTCTCTCTCTGCTTATTTATAAAGGGAAAGCTAGCAACTACTGGCAAAGAGTTTCAGTTAGGAAACAAAAAAACGACATTTTTGTGTTGCATTTGCCATAATTATAGTTGGGGGGGTCTCGTTTTGGTCATTATATTATTGTACATTAAACAAAATCATTTGGTGATTGTGTGACTCATATAAAGTAGTAGTACTGAATGCAAAATGACATGAGAAGGGTGGCAATATTATTATGATGGCTAGTGAATTCTTGGCACTTAAAACATTAAAATGAAGCGTGATTGTAGATTGATTCCTGTTATGTAGTACTAACTGTCGGCCGGTATCAATTTAATTGGGTTATCTAGGATCAATGTACCATAGATGTACCTACTTTACAAAATTACAATAACTCCTCTTTGTTCTTCACTTCATCACAAAATGAGGTTTCCTCCAAAGATATGCGCCTCGCCTAATAAGTACTCCTCCGTCCTATAATTATTGTCCACTTTGCCCAAAAAATTTTGTCTCAAATTATTGTCCAATTTGACTTTTTATGGATCAAGTTATACATTTGTCCTTAGTAAAAAATATTATCCATAAAATATTAGTGGTTAAACAATTACTTATATATGGGTATATCCGGTTGTTTAAGGCAAAATATAGTTAAATTTGACCAAAAATAAAATTTTTCATTTTAATAAAACTGGATAATAATTATGGGACGGAGGGAGTATCTTCTTTTCATTTACAGAACTCGAAATGGATGCAAAAGTGCCATGATCCTGAACTCCTAATCAAGTAACCAAATAAGGATAAACTCAGCTTCGAACACAGAACTCTAGAATACCTTAATGTTAAAAAAAAAAAAGTCCATACCAATTTCATTAATCTTAAACTTAATCATACTCTCTTCGCTGTGTCAAAGAAGAAAAAAGTTCTCTCGAAAATGTATAATGTTATAATGTTCACTTTGCTTTCAACGCCAATGTCCAGTCATTTGTTGTGTGACAATCTATAACAAGTTGTAAGAATATATCTCGTAGCTTTTTCTAAGCATAATAATGGGGACTTTCGGATTACGTGATATTTTAATAAAACATTTTTTCATTTCAATATAGTTTTTTTTTTGTTAGTTATATTAAAATCATAATCTATTAACTAGGACATTGATTTTGTGACGCATAATAGGTACTACTTAAAAATGGTGGAAGGGAACAACCACTAAAAATACATCTAATTATATAATTTAACATATCATTCCTAATAACACTACAAATTAGATGAAATACACAAAAATAAACCATTAATTAATAAAGTGCAGCGACCCACGATGAAAACAAAAAAGGGGGTGAAAAAAAAACCACTCTGGCATTTTTAGGCATGTCTTTATTCTTGACTTTGTAGCCTTTAGGGGGCATGTGACCCATTTGGATTTCTTTATTTATTGAACAAACTTTTCTTTAATTCACAGTGATGCCACTAATTGGGGGAATTGTGATTTCTTAAATACGAAAAAGAAAACAAAAATATAACTGGACCCACCCGACCGTTAAGGCGTTAAATCCGCATGACCGTACGTGTCAGATCGTTGTCAATGCTCTTGAGGGTATTGTGGTCATTATAAGCCATATATGATGAACAAAATCAACAAAATCAATAAGCTGAGGTTAGACTACCGTTGAATCTTTGTTTGCTTTTGAGGCTCTCTGTCCTGAATTGACGTTTTGACCCCACCAGTGGCCTTCTTCCTCCTCAGAGGAGCTAGTGCTGGTAGTTACTCTGTAGACTGTAGTGTTCTGCATTTTACGCCTACTTTTGATTTTATTTTTTTCGATAAATCATGGCTTTTGTAGACAATGATTTTGTCTTCGATTTGATTGAGTTTTTGGGCGAATTTACTGATTTATAGATGTTCTATTTAGTTATTAATAAACCGTAGTCAGCTTAAGTTGAAAATATTTAAAGTATTTCACAAAATCTTGTGCGATCTCTTATCTTATTAGTTATCTTAAACATGACTAAATGAGTATTAGATCAAGGATACTAAACAAGAAACTATATAAACTTTTTTTGGTTACAACAAAAAGAGGTACAAAAAAGTCTAAGATCATATAAGTACATTTTGGGGGTGTGCCACACCAATTATATCATGCTCTAATCATGGTTTGACACTTGATAGTGGAGAAACGGTATAAATTTTGAATAAATAGCTAATTATTTACAGTTTTATATCCGTTCCGAAAAAATGTTCTCAAAATAAGATAGCGCGTTAGTATATTTGTTAATGCATTCTTTATTATATTTGTAGTGTACTAATATTTTATGTAGAAAATCTCTTAGAGGTATGGAGTAAGTGGAATGTTTAACATCGTGTAAACTTTTAGTAATTTTACAAGAATAATTAGGATACTTTTTCCGGACATAAATTTTGAGGACGTGAGTAGGATACAGTGACGACCTCTGGTTTTGATTACAGTTTAATTCTCTCCAGCAGTTCCTCTAAAACAAAGAAGTATAGTTTCAACTGTGTGGAATAACGAGCAGAGGAAGTAGTAAAATGAACTTTTACCGCCAAATTCAGACAAATAAGTTCTCTATAGAGCCAATAATACTGATTCACTGATTAGTTTAATTTTGTACTAATCAGCAACGATTCACTTCCTGTCATCACAATCTGAAGGGCTTGGACGAATTTGTTGACCAAATTCCGGTTGGGTTAGACCTTGTGAACTTGTGTGTATTCAAAGTCCCTCGGGGGAAACTGTTTTTGCTGATGGGAAAGGTGTTCGTTGAATTGCACAAACCAGTTGGTTTGCCTCGGGCAAGTAGAATAAGCTGCTTCCAAATACAAAACATTTTCACACTACTCCCCTTACTGCCTTCTTGCATTAGTGAAGTTCTCACTTACATGATTTGACTAGAGAACTAGATAAGCAATATAGAAACATGTTGACTTTTGCAATAATGCAAAAGCTGCTGCGTCTCTAACAAAGAAGATTTATTTTTGAAATAAAAAATGAATTAATTTTTTGTTTGCTTTGTTTGCTTGCAAAGTATGAGATGGACGAAAGCAAATTCATATACCCTGGTCAATTAAGATCGAAAGGACACTTACTATGTCATAGTTTGCTGGTGATGTTTCGTGACATATTTTGTACTAATAGTAATAAATTTTGCTTGTACTGTCCCTCTCGAGGATTTCCCTCAACAATGGAAAATTAGGTTATTTGTTTTCATGATCGTAGGATTTCCAACACACCCAATCTTTAATCAGTGCAACATATCTTCCATTCTCGCAAAAGTAAAATTCCCTTTTTCATGATAGTGGTGCTTCATGCACTCTCTTTCTTTTCACGAGTGCAGCGAGAGGGGAACAACCTTGCGTGATTCCAACAATATTCCAAAATCCTATTAATGGATTGAAGATTCTGATTAAATTCAGTCATAAGAGAAAAACAAATGCAATAATAGTAAAATATGAAATTGATGAAGATTCTGAATGATTTATTTAGCTGACTTTTTCCAAATAATTGGACTGAAAACGTTACGTGTCTGCCATCTTCAACACATGGTTGGAACTGGAAGTGCAACACTACAAAAGGCCCCAAATCACACCAAGCTTTTTAAGCAAAGAGAGGATATTATTTTATGTGCCATTTTCTTCTTGCTACTTCACACCCCCCCCCCCCCCCCCCCCCCCGCGGCTTAACGATCAACAAAATGACAATGCCACAGAGAAAATCTTCCTGCACAACCCAAATCTAGCACCATACACTATACGTTTGGATCTTAAATTGTACCGTGTAGGTAGGGGATTTTTTTTTTTTTTTCATTTAGTTATGACTTATGAGCATCCTGATATGATTTAATATGTAAAAATATTTAATTAATTTTAACAAAATTATGCTACTGCATCTTTTGAAATTAACAATATGTAAAATCTAGGTGAAATATATTACCTCACTAAGAAATTAAAGGTGTATTATTCAACATTCAGAAGATATACTGATAAATGATTTTAAAGTAAAATTGTCAATGTAAATTTCACTATGCTCACATTTAATGCTAGGTTAAACTTTAGATTCAAGTTTCAAACTTTAGAGTTTTCAGATTGCATAGAGAATGGATAGTGTGTAGTGTACAGTAAGTTATTAGTTGACAGGGGTTAGTTTGTATATTCGTGTAAATGTAGGGGTACATATGTAAATCAGTTAGAAGTCAGTTATATGAATAGTTAGGAATTGAGACATATATATATGTCTCTTACTGTACAGTTTTATGTTATCGAAAGGAATAAAGAAATCCAGATTCAGTTTTTTCCCAAATTGAAGAGTTCTTCGACCAGAGAGATTCTTACCATTAATTCAATATTTTTTTTATCAGATTTTCAAAATTCTAGATGGTATCAGAGCAGGTTTAATAGTCTGCCCGATACTTCGCCGCTCAATTTTTGTTTTCCCTCTTTTGATACATCGATTGGAGTTAGGGTTTCATTCCAGAATTCATGACTCGTCGCGGAGCCGGTGAAACTCACCGGGGTGAAGATCAAATCCATGACGAAGCTAATTCGGGAGGTGCGAATGCTTGTTAGAACAACTATGGTCGAGAGGAGTTCAATTATGGTGGCTACTCACACCCGCCGGTACTCATGCCTTCTGATAGTCAAGGTACTGCTATTATTTCAATTCAATTGAATGATGAGAATTACTTAGCTTGGAGTCATGCCATGAGGCAAACCTTAAGTGGAAAGAATAAACTAGGATTCATAT